TCCCTCATCAATTCTATGATTCACCTCATCTTTCATAGACCCATCCGCTGACACGTCCACTCCCAAATACCTGAATATGTTCACCTCCTCCATACTCTCTCCCTCCAATCTGATATCCAATCTTTCATCACCTAATCTTTTTGTTATCCTCATAACCTTACTCTTTCCTGTATTCACCTTTAATTTTCTTCTTTTGCACACCCTACCAAATTCATCCACCAATCTCTGCAACTTCTCTTCAGAATCTCCCAAGAGCACAGTGTCATCAGCAAAGAGCAGCTGTGACAACTCCCACTTTGTGTGTGATTCTTTATCTTTTAACTCCACGCCTCTTGCCAAACCCTCACATTTACTTCTCTTACAACCCCATCTATAAATATATTAAACAACCAGGGTGACATCACACATCCATTGTCTAAGGCCTACTTTTACTGGGAAAAAATTTCCCTCTTTCCTACATACTCTAACTTGAGCCTCACTATCCTCGTAAAACTCTTCACTGCTTTCAGTAACCTACCTCCTACACCATACACTTGCAACATCTGCCACATTGCCCCCCTATCCACCCTGTCATAACGCCTTTTCCAAATCCATAAATGCCACAAAGACCTCTTTAGCCTTATCTAAATACTGTTCACTTATATGTTTCACTGTAAACACCTGGTCCACACACCCCCTACCTTTCCTAAAGCCTCCTTGTTCATCTGCTATCCTATTCTCCGTCTTACTCTTAATTCTTTCAATTATAACTCTACCATACACTTTACCAGGTATACTCAACAGACTTATCCCCCTATAATTTTTGCACTCTCTTTTATCCCCTTTGCCTTTATACAAAGGAACTATGCATGCTCTCTGCCAATCCCTAGGTACCTTACCCTCTTCCATACATTTATTAAATAATTGCACCAACCACTCCAAAACTATATCCCCACCTGCTTTTAACTTTCTATCTTTATCCCATCAATCCCGGCTGCCTTACCCCCTTTCATTTTACCTACTGCTTCACGAACTTCCCCCACACTCACAACTGGCTCTTCCTCACTCCTACAAGATGTTATTCCTCCTTGCCCTATACATGAAATCACAGCTTCCCTATCTTCATCAACATTTAAACAATTCCTCAAAATATTCCCTCCATCTTCCCAATACCTCTAACTCTCCATTTAATAACTCTCCTCTCCTATTTTTAACTGACAAATCCATTTGTTCTCTAGGCTTTCTTTAAATTGTTAATGTCACTCCAAAACTTTTTCTTATTTTCAACAAAATTTGTTGATAACATCTCACCCATTCTCTCATTTGCTCTCTTTTTACATTGCTTCACCACTCTCTTAACCTCTCTCTTTTTCTCCATATACTCTTCCCTCCTTGCATCACTTCTACTTTGTAAAAACTTCTCATATACTAACTTTTTTCTCCCTTACTACTCTCTTTACATCATCATTCCACCAATCGCTCCTCATCCCTCCTGCACCCACTTTCCTGTAACCACAAACTTCTGCTGAACACTCTAACACTACATTTTTAAACCTACCCCATACCTCTTCGACCCCATTGCCTATGCTCTCATTAACCCATCTATCCTCCAATAGCTGTTTTATTCTTACCCTAACTGCCTCCTCTTTTAGTTTATAAACCTTCACCTCTCTCTTCCCTGATGCTTCTATTCTCCTTCTATCCCATCTACCTTTTACTCTCAGTGTAGCTACAACAAGAAAGTGATCTGATATATCTGTTGCCCCTCTATAAACATGTTTCATCCTGAAGTCTACTCAACAGTCTTTTATTTTACCAATACATAATCCAACAAACTACTGTCATTTCGCCCTACATCATATCTTGTATACTTGTTTATCCTCTTTTTCTTAAAATATGTATTACCTATAACTAAACCCCTTTCTATACAAAGTTCAATCAAAAGGCTCCCATTATCATTTACACCTGGCACCCCAAACTTACCTACCACACCCTCTCTAAAAGTTTCTCCTACTTTAGCATTCAGGTCCCCTACCACAATTACTCTCTTACTTGGTTCAAAGGCTCCTATGCATTCACTTAACAACTCCCAAAATCTCTCTCTCTCCTCTGCATTCCTCTCTTCTCCAGGTGCATACACGCTTATTATGACCCACTTCTCGCATCCAACCTTTACTTTAATCCACATAATTCTTGAATTTACACATTCATATTCTCTCTTCTCCTTCCATAACTGATCATTTAACATTACTGCTACCCCTTCTTTTGCTCTAACTCTCTCAGATACTCCAGATTTAATCCCATTTATTTCCCCTCACTGAAACTCTCCTACCCCCTTCAGCTTTGTTTCGCTTAGGGCCAGGACATCCAACTTCTTTTCATTCATAACATCAGCAATCATCTGTTTCTTGTCATCCGCACTACATCCACGCACATTTAAGCATCCCAGTTTTATAAAGTTTTTCTTCTCTTTTTTAGTAAATGTCTACAGGAGAAGGGGTTACTAGCCCATTGCTCCCGGCATTTTAGTCGCCTCATACGACACGCACGGCTTACGGAGGAAAGATTCTTTTCCACTTCCCCATGGACAATAGAAGAAATAAATTAGAACAAGAGCTATTTAGAAAAAGGAGAAAAACCTAGATGTATGTATATATGTATGCATGTGCGTGTCTGTGAAGTGTGACCAAAGTGTAAGTAGGAGTAGCAAGATATCCCTGTTATCTAGCGTGTTTATGAGACAGAAAAAGAAACCAGCAATCCTACCATCATGCAAAACAGTTACAGGTTTTTGTTTCACAGTCATCTGGCAGGACGGTAGTACTTTCCTGGGTGGTTGCTGTCTACCAACCTACTACTCATTTGTGATTTAGGTATTATCACAAATATAAGCAATATAAAATTATATGAACAGGTAATATACATTATATACATTGTGATCCATTCAGGGGTTGCAGTAATATGTTTCCTCACCATCACTACTTGAATGATCGTCAAGAGCAATAAAATCACAATCCACGTCACTGTCATCATCATTACTGAAGTCAGAGGCCCGGCCATGTGAAAATAATAGTTTTCTCTTGGGATGAGGTACAACTGACCGTGACTGAGGAGTGCTCACATCAGAGGTAGAAGGTTGAGGATCGCCAAGGTTTTCTGCACTATTATCGATATCCTGGTCATTCCTTTCGGTCACTAACTGATCAAAGCCAAAGAACTCGTCTTCATTTCCACTTCCATCGGAGTCAGAACTTTCAGATAGGAAGAGGAGAGTCCCAATTTTCATTGGAGTGAGGCATGGTGAACAAAGGTAACTGAGCTGGCGTTCCTACAATGCTATGCGGGAGCCTAGAATTTTTGTTCATGGCGCGCACACACTACGCAGACCCGTTCTCTCACATGTAGGCCTACCAGCATTTTCGCTCTAAATTTGATGCTGCTAGAATTTTGGCGTAGATCTACGGTTTGGACCCTGAACGTAAACCCATAGATCTATGGCACAGACCCTGAAAGGCTTAAGTGACAATTTTACTTAGTGAAGCATATGACAATAGAGAAAAAAATCATTTTTAGTTGAGTACAGTGGACCCCCGCATACCGTTGGCATCACATACCGTTTATTCCGCATACCGCTCACTTTAATCGCAAAAATTTTGCCTCGCATACCGCTCAAAAACCCGCTCACCGCTGTTCGTCCGAGACGCGTCCAATGTGCGCCTTAGCCAGCCTCACATGTTCCGCCGGTGGCATTGTTTACCTGCCAGCCTCCGCGGTAGCATCCAAGCATACAATCGTAACATTTCGTATTATTACAGTGTTTTTGGTGATTTTATCTGGAAAATAAGTGACCATGGGCCCCAAGAAAGCTTCTAGTGCCAACCCTACAGCAATAAGGGTGATAATTACTATAGAGATGAAGAAAAAGATCATTGATAAGTATGAAAGTGGAGTGCGTGTCTCCGAGCTGGCCAGGTTGTATAATAAACCCCAATCAACCATCGCTACTATTGGTGGTACAGCTGCTGCTGCTGCTGCACTGTCAGCTGCTGCTGCTGCTGTAGCATCGTCTGCTGCTGCTGTAGCATCGTCTGCTGCTGCTGTAGCATCGTCTGCTGCTGCTGTAGCACTGTCAGCTGTGCTGCTGCTGTAGCTGCGCTGCTGCTGTAGCATCGTCTGCTGCTGCTGTAGCATTGTCTGCTGCTGCTGTAGCATCGTCTGCTGCTGCTGTAGCATCGTCTGCTGCTGCTGTAGCATCGTCTGCTGCTGCTGCTGCTGTAGCATCGTCTGCTGCTGCTGTAGCACTGTTGTTGGTGTGGCTTATTGAGAATATACCAAGAAACAATTAACCCCATAGGATTTGCCACCCAGGATAACCCAAAAAAGTCAGTGTCATCGAAGACTGTCTAAATTATTTCCATTGGGGTCCTTAATCTTGTCTCCCAGGATGCGACCCACACCAGTCGACTAACACCCAGGTGAACAGGGAAAAATGCCTGGAACTAGTGCTCATATTGGTGAATTTAAAGCCAGCAAAAGTTGGTTTGAGAGATTTAAGAATCGTAGTGACATACACAGTGTGATAAGGCATGTTCTGGAAGAAAATACCAAATAGGACCTACAGTACTCAGGAGGAAAAGGCACTCCCAGGACACAGTGTCTCATCAGTCATTGCTGCATCTTCAATAAAGGTAAGTGTCATTTATTCTTCATTTAGTAAACTAGTACATGCACAATATATATTATGCATGTACTACTCTACTATTGTGCATGTATCCTTCTCTTTGTGTGTAGGAAAATGTGTATTTCATGTGGTAAAATTTTTTTTTTCATACTTTTGGGTGTCTTGCACGGATTAATTTGATTTCCATTATTTCTTATGGGGAAAATTCATTCGCATACCAATTATTTCGCATACCAATGAGCCCTCTTGCACGGATTAAAATCGGTATGCGGGGGTCCACTGTATGTTATAATGGTAATTGTGGAATATTGTACTATACTGACTCATGTTTCTATTGCAGACGTATTTTGTGGAAAACTGCCAGGTTGTGTCTTTCCAGACACTATATCTTCAGTACTTCAAGAAGCACCAGTGTAAGTGTCTTGAACAACAACTGATGTTGCAGAAGTATTTTGTGGAAGAATACCAAGTTGTGTCTTGCCAGAGACTATATCTTCAGTACTTCAAGGAAGGCAACAGCTGTTCTTCGTGTGAATTTTTAACTAGCTATTACTAATTAAACAATTTTGCTTTTGATATTGGGAATTCTATCTAAAAATGCATGGCAGTTAATTCTTTGAGGGTTCGTTTTGTAGTTCTATGATTTTTAAGCTGTAGTACTACATCATGAGCTCAGCTTACTCAGATAAGCTGTGAGCAGTAAATTTGGGCCTAAATATGAGAGAATGCATCGATGTGGTAAGTGTGCACCATATAAAAGAAATCCTACAGCAGGCAGTGCATGAGGAAAAAACAAAGTGCAACTGTGTTTTTGGATTAAGACAGCAAATTTTTGGTGTATTTTCATGTTTTTATAGTAGCATTCACTGTTTCTTGATCAATTTTATAGAATAGAAGATGTATTACAGAAACGACTTTGATGGATTTTAGTACTGAAAATAGCTTGAAATTGAGTTCAGAGTAATAGAAATATTTTATTTTTGCTGATATTAGAGGGTAAATAATCACATCATTCGTCCAGTGCACGTCAGCTGGTGGGTTTAGTGTGTGCTGCTGAATGCACTGATATTATTTATACAATTATTACAATATTGCATAGCAATAACTTTTCTATTTTTCGGTGTGCATAAAAATAATTTGTGAATAAAAATCAAAATGAAATGCATCTGCAAAGCCTGCAAATGTAACTAAAAAATAGTAGAAATGTTAGTTTAGTGCCAGGTTGCCTGCATTGATTTTTCTGGACCATATTTTGATATTGGAATATTTTGAATTTTGTGTGAAATTGGCCATATTTCCAATATCCAGTCACTTTATTAAGAAGTTGAAATAGTTAAATTGGTCAATTTTATGTGCTTAGTAGACAATATGGAACATATACTAGTGAAATAGCTAAGAATTTAGTCTAATGGAACTATGTAATTGGCCAAAAACAGGACTCAAAGTGGGCAAAATTGCCAGTGCATAAATATTTCTGACACGGCAAAATTTGCAGGAGTATAACTTCATCATTTCTTTATAAAATTATGTACTCTTTATTTTAAAACATTCAGAAAAAGATTCTCTATGATTTCCTAAGAAAAAAATAATATTTTTTAGACCCTGTGGAGAATTTTCAGATTGGGGGTCTGATCCCTCAAAGGGTCAATAAAAGAAGATAGAAAAATTTGTTTAAACACAAGAGCAAATAATAATAATAATGTTGAGTGTATCTGCAGTGTTCTAGTACATATATTAATGTTTTAACACAACAAAAATTATGATAGTGTTTTAACAAACAATATGAACTTTATTAGTGCTCATTAGTAGGAAAAGTTTTGCCTAAGTAAATCTTAACATGGGAATATGTTCATAAGGAAAACCATGTGCTCAGTGTCCAAAATAGTTAAAAAAATCATGCAATAGACATGTGAGTACATAAGGAAGATTAGCTTTACAACTGTTGTATGACTAAAATATTTTAAATGAAATACTTTCATTTAAAAAATATGGAAAAACATAAAGAACACAAACCATATGAATGTTCAGAGTGTCTGAAATGTTTTAGTGGAAAAAGCCAACTTGTGGTACACATGAGAGTACATACTGGAGATAAACCATTTCAATGTGCAGAGTGTTTGAAATGTTTTAGTATAAAAAGTAATCTTGTGAAACACATGAGAATACATACAGGAGATAAACCATACCAATGCACAGTGTGTTTGAAATGTTTTACTAAAAAATGCAATCTTGTGACACACATGGGAGTACATGCAGGAGACAAATTATATCAATGTTCTGAGTGTCTGAAATGTGTTAGCCGAAAAAGCTATCTTGTGACACATATGAGACTACATGCACGAGATAAACCATATCAATGTTCTGAGTGTCTGAAATGTTATAGTCTAAAAAGCAATCTTGTGGCACATATGAAAGTACATACAGGATATAAACCATATCAGTGTTCTGAGTGTCTGAAATGTTTTAGTGTAAAAAGCAGTCTTGTGCCACACATGAGAGTACATACAGGAGATAAACCATATCAATGTTCTGAGTGTCTGAAATGTTATAGTCTAAAAAGCAATCTTGTGGCACATATGAAAGTACATTCAGGAGATAAACCATATCAATGTTCTGAGTGTCTGAAATGTTTTAGTGTAAAAAGCAGTCTTGTGCCACACATGAGAGTACATACAGGAGATAAACCATATCAGTGTTCTGAGTGTCTGAAATGTTTTAGTGTAAAAAGCAGTCTTGTGCCACACATGAGAGTACATACTGGAGATAAACCATACCAATGTTCTGAGTGTCTGAAATGTTTTAATAAAAAAAGCCATCTTGTGATACATATGAGAGTACATACAGGAGATAAACCATACCAATGTTCTGAGTGTCTGAAATGTTTTAATCAAAAAAGCCATCTTGTGATACATATGAGAGTACATACAGGAGATAAACCATACCAATGTTCTGAGTGTCTGAAATGTTTTAATCAAAAAAGCAGTCTTGTGAGACATATGAGAGTACATACAGGAGATAAACCATACCAATGTTCTGAGTGTCTGAAATGTTTTAGTGTAAAAAGCCAAATTGTGAAACAAATGAGAGTGCATACAGGAGATAAACCATATCAATGTTCTGAGTGTCTGAAATCTTTTAATAAAAAATCAGACTTGTGAGACATACAAGAGTACATTCTAGAGATAAAACATGTTAGTGTTTAATGTTTAAGAAATATTTTAGTTATAAACTCATCAGAATATATAAAAGAGATATACCATAACAGTTGAGAGTGAAATATGTTAATGAAATGTCAGTCATATAAATCATATAAGTTCATAGAGGAGATAAGTTGTATTAATGTTCAGAATATCTTATATATTTAAAAAAAGAAAGAACAGTCTTGTGTACTCATGTGAGCAAATATACAGTATAAACAATACATATATATATAGAAAATACTGTAAGGTCAAGTCTGTAATCTGTGTACTTCAGTAACCAAGAATTCTGCATTGAAATATTCAGTGAACAACAGTAGTGAAATATTCAGTGAACAACTGTAGTGAAATGTTCAATGAACAACAGTAGTGAAATATCCAGTGAACAACAGTAATGAAATGTTCAGTGAACAACAGTAGTGAAATATTCAGTGAGCAACAGTAGTGAAATATTCAGTGAACAACAGTAGGTGGGTGAAATATTAGTGCCCGTAAAGTGAAGAGAACACTGGTGTTAATACTATAAATCTAAGACTATTCATTCTTTTAACAGTATTTATTATAAATATTCCCACAACAATAATAGTACTTAACATACTTTAATTATATCTATATAGTATTTTTGCTTTAAGGTTATCAATACCAGAGGTGCTATGGTTGACAAGAATGCACTACTTCTCTCATCTTTGCATGAAATATATGTGGTTAGCCAGACTTGAGTCCTGGAGGTAAATGGTACATTGACTGCACCCTAATGGGGGGGGGGGGGCCAAGATATTTTCAGTTTTGAACTATATTATTGGCAAGCCTTTTACAAAACAGCGATGAAGTGAGCGATGTTGAGCATGTTTCTTCTTTTTGGGTTAACTTGCCTTGATAGGAGACAGCTAGTGTTAAAAAAAAATATGCTATTGCAACACACAGCAATGCAATCTCCATAATGCCATTTCCTTTGTTTGTGTTGGGAAAATTATGGAATTTTACAGTGCTGATGTAATTTTTTTCCCCAAAATAAGTGTAGAAAATTAACCTAGTGTTTTGGTGGGACAAAGATTAAGGTGTTCATAATCCTCAACATGAGCATAGAGAAATGCTTCAATACTAGACAGTGAACTAAGCTCATGTTATCATAATTATTATCATAATCTGTATTTAAGCATGATACAGTGTACAGAGATGGGTGACATTTAGGTGTTCATGCAGAAAGACCATTGTTCTGCAGAACATTTCTGACAAACTTAAGACAATCTTAAGACTAATATGCCAATAAAATGTTAACGTAAATTTTTTTTATTTTGCTCCAAAAGCATCTTAGAAAACTTACCTAACCTTATTATAACAAGAACATTTTATTTTAGCCTAACCCAACTAAATATATTTCAGATTTGTTTACAATAATTTAATACTAAACAAACACAGTGAAATATATTTTTTTCGTTAGGTTCAGAATGATTTTGGCGAAATTATTGCATACTCAAATTTTCAATTGTTCTATATGGCAAAATGAGCGTTGCTATTTAAGCCAAGATCGCAAGTTCTGCCTATTCGGCACGACATATATATACAGTGGACCCCCGCTTAACGATCACCTCCAAATGCGACCAATTATGTAAGTGTATTTATGTAAGTGCGTGTGTACGTCTATGTTTGGGGGTCTGAAATGGACTAATCTACTTCACAATATTCCTTATGGGAAAAAATTCGGTCAGTAATGGCACCTGAACATACTACTGGAATGAAAAAAGTTCGTTAACCGGGGGTCCACTGTATATGTATATATATATGTCATGCCGAATATATAAAACTGATCAATTAGCAAGAACTTGTTTAAAATTAAGTCCTTTCTAAAATTTTCTCTTATACGTTTAAAGATATATTTTTTCATTAATGTTAATTTAAAAAATTTTAATTTTGCACCAAAAGAATCTTGGAAAACTTACCTAACCTTATTATAACAAGAGCAATTTATTTTACCCTAACCCAACTAAATATATTTTAGATTTGTTTACAATAATTTGATATTAAACAAACACAGTGAAATATATTTTTTTCGTTTGGTTCAGAATGATTTTGGCGAAATTATTGCATACAAAAATTTTCACTTGTCCTATATGGCAAGATGAGCATTGCTATTTAAGCCAAGATCGCAAGTTCTGCCTATTCGGCACGACATATATATATGTATATATATATTATATATATATATATATGTATATATATATATTATATATATATATATATATGTATATATATATATATAATATATGTATATATATATATAATATATATTATATATATATATTATAATATATATATATATATATATATATATATATATATAATATATATATATATATATATATGATCGTACGAATATGTAAATACTTAATATACAAGAACTCACTTAAATATAAATGTCGTATTCTGAATATTTTCTCTTATAGTGTAAAATATATTTTTTATATTAATGTATAATAGTAATAAAATATTTAATTTTGCACCAATAGTAATTCTTAGAAAACTTCTACCTTATTAAAACAAGTGTAAATTTTTTTAGCCTAACCCAACTAAATATATTTTTGATTTGTTTGAAAAATTTTAATACTTATACAAACAGAGTGAAACTATACTTTTTTCGTTAGGTAAGATGATTTTGGCAAATAACCCATACACATAATTTTCGATTGTTCATATATTAGCAAGAGAGCGTTGCTAGTTAAGCCAAGATTCGCAAAGACTCTGCCTATTCGGCACGACATAATTTTGTTGTGCCAATAGGCAGAATTGCGATCTTGCTTAAATGCAACCGAGCACATCTTGCCAATAGGACAAGCAAAAATTTGTGTATGCAATAATTTCGCCAAAATCATTCTGAACCTAACGAAAAAAATATATTTCACTGTGTTTGTTTAATATTAAATTATTGTAAACAAATCTAAAATATATTTAGTTGGGTTAGGCTAAAATAAATTGTTCTTGCTATAATAAGGTTAGGTAAGTTTTCAGCGTGTCTGAAAAAGTTTTAGTGGAAAGGCAAGTCTTGTGAGTCATATGAGTGTGCTCTCAGGAGATAAACAATATCAATGTTCTGTGGTGTCTGGAATCCTTCTAATAAAAAATCAGACTTGTGAGACATACAAGGAGTACATTCAAGAGATTTTAGAAAATGTTAGGGTTTTAATGTTTAAGAAAATATTTTAGTTTATAAGATCTTCAGAATATATAAAAGAGATATTCCATAACAGTTGAGAGTGAAATTGTTTATGAAATGTCAGTCATATAAATCATATAAGTTCTTAGAGGAGCTAAGTTGTATTAATGTTCAGATATCTTATTTATTTAAAAAGAAAGAGCAGTCGTGTGTACTCATGAGAAGCTAATATACAGTTACAAACAATCATTATATATGGTAAATACTGTATCATGTGCCATTGTACCATTATTTGTACCACTATGGCAATATTGTAACAATATGGTTACCATTGTATTCTAACAATACAGCCACTAATATTTCATAATTTTGTTTACAATATACTTGTAAACAAGTTTTGTAAGCAATTTAATGATAAACAAATTAGTGCAGTATTTGTGTTAATTACAATGAGTGTACACTTATTACAATAGACATTATTTTTTCCCAAAATAAGTGTAGTATTTTAACCTAGTGTATTTGGTGGACAAAGATTAGGGTTCATAATCCTCACATGAGCATAGAGAAATGATTCAATACTAGACAGTGAACTATGCTCATGTTATCATAATTTTCATAAATCTGTATTTAAGATGATACAGTGTACAGAGAATGGGTGACATTTAGGTGTTCATGCAGAAAAAAAGACCATTGTTTGCAGAACATTTCTGACAAACTTAAGACAATCTTAAGACTTAATTATGATCCATATATATTTATATTTTTATACAGGATCTTCCTGGAGTGATCATAATCAATAATTGTTTTTTCATTACAAGTTGCAACAAGAAAACTACTTTGCATATTAACACTTTTTCTATATAAAACATTAAATTTATTTGTCTAAATGAATTGTGATAAACTATTTTTTTTTGCATTTATGTGTCATCAGAATTATCTAACGTTGACTTTAGCATCAGTACACTAAGGTAAACCAGGACCAAACACATTGAGTCAAGATGAATTATAAGTTAATTTAGTAGGCGAAACTTGCCTGTTTTACCATCATTACAACATGGAAGTAATACTTTTACCTCAATGATCCGGATATTAAGAGAGGATTATCAGATACAAAAAGACAAAAATTAAAATTGTTGTGTGTTAAAAGGGTTTAAAACAATGATACTATTTCAGTAGATCCTCAGTAATGTCATTAAATCCATTCCGAGAGTGTATTTAACTTTAACCCTTTGACTGTCTTCGGTCATATAGGAGGGCCCCCGCTTTACGGGCATTCCGCTTTACGGCCGTACCGCTAATACGGACATTTCAAATTATGACCAAAACTACACTATTACGGCTCCCCCCACCTGACTTTTAAATTACTGGTCACCGTGCCCCCACCCTGTTTTTTACATTCTCCATGAGTCAGTAAGCAATAAGTCTCCCTTTTGTCTGGAAACTCCAAAATTTCCCAATTGTTTTAAAAGTTATTTTCCATATTTTTATATATACTCTGATAATTATATTATGTATACCTGTACCTAATTAAACTTACTTACATGTGTCATTTAATGTCGTATATTACGTTTAATATAACATTTTCATTAATCCATCCATGACTATTTTTATCAAATTATTTAATAAACACGATGATAAATAATAAATAGATAAATACAACACACACAGTAGAATAAATAAACATAAATGTGTAGATGTCGTGCAGACGACTTCCACAAGCTGGTGATAATAACATATGAGTCTCATTTAAATGTCGTATTTAAGGTTAATATACACATTTTCATTAATCCCATCCATGATAATTTTTTTCAAAAATTATATAATAAACACGATGCATAACATATAAATAAGATAAATTACACCCCTCGTAGAATAAATAAACATAAATGTGAGATTCGTAGAAGTCGACTTCCACAAGTGACGGATATAACAATAGTTCACGGAGTCTCATTAAATGTCGTAATATTCGGTAATATACTCATTTTCATTAATCCATCATGATTTTTTTTTCAAAATTATATTAATAAACACGATGCATAACATATAAATAAGATATATACACCCCACAGTTAGAATAATATAAAACATAAATGTGAGCTGTGGTAGCTGACGACGTCCACAAGTGGTGATAATAAACAATAGTCACGGGTATCCATTAAATGTCGTAATTTCGGTTAATTTACACATTTTAATTAATTCCTAGCATGGATTATTTTTTTCAAAAATTCATATAATAAACACGATACATAATAAAAAGATGTAATACACCCACAATAGAATAAATAAACATAAATATAAGTTGTGAGGAGCCTG